ATATTTTAGTTTGTACAATTAGAAAGATAAACCATTTCATTATGACCACGAGTGATTTCCTTTATTGTGGGCAGTACTTCTTTTAGATTGAAATAGTGAGTGACGTAAGCCTATAATGTGTCAAATAATCAAGCGAATTTGATATAAATCATTACTTTTTCCAATTAGGACTAAAATACTATGTCAAATAGGCCTAGCTGATATCCGTATACTTTGTAACAATGAAAGTCCATTTCATGACGACATACGTCTCTTTCCAGGGCAATGCATACATTTGCATTTAATTATTTGTAATAATTACATACCATACAATTATTAGAATGTCTGATGAATGAAGTTATACTGTACATGGTCCACGACATGGTCTATTTCCTTGTTCTGATATAACGGGACGCAAAGCCACACCGTTACGTGTACGTTTGATGACTTGTTAGGCCCAGCAACCTGAATGACCTGTCGCCTATGGAGGTCCCGATTTCCTGATATTTACAAGACATCAAGGTGTCGTAAATCTTGTTCTAATGACGATCATTAGATGTTCAGTTACCGCGTTAAAATTGTTGGATGATGCTGTAAAATAGTGGACATTTATTACCATCGTGTCACAAGGCGAACTTCATAGGAATGCTGCGTATCCTACTGATCTCATACAACGAAATTTGTAAGAAAAAAATACCCAATAACTTACACTTAATTGACAAATGATGATCATTTCACACTCAATGTTGAACTATATCGTGACCTGTACAACTACAGTGCACTATGTATTTAACCATAATTATAACCTTGTACCTAGTACACATACCTGTGCAAATAATACTCCTAGTGACAATATTTTAGATTTAGATAACGATAAATTAGTATAATTCAAATAAATAATAATATAATAAAATGTATATAATCAGTCAGTTCATTTCATAATAACCACCTAAAATACATCAATCAATCAATCAATCAATTAATCAACCAATCAATCAATCAATATATTAATCGATCATTTGATTAAATAGAACAGGTTGATTAAACAGTACAAATTTGCCGTGTTAGCTATTAAAATAATCTTCATCTTTGCGTTTCTTTCTAGAAGAATAATTGGCCTATAATATCGTATTTGATAGTTGAAGTTGAACCCGCCTAGGCCCAGCACAAAAACGCCGCCACACCTGTGTATTGTTTAAACAAGTGGGATTTTGTTTAAGATAGGTAACATTGTGTCTCCTATAATAGTATTTTTGTTTACGACAGGTAATGTAACAGTATTTGATTACAGGTCCTAAATAAAACACGGCCCAGTGTGCCCTCGGAGCACTAAATACGCCGGGTGATCCTCGTTCAAGTCACAACAATAGGGCCTACGATAATTAATTAAACGCTGCAGTAGTTAGGAGGATAATCCTGGAGGGTTATGCTTGGAGACAAAATCGAGTATGAATAGCCAGGGCTAAGGAGGCTAAGGAGCTAGGTGCACGTGTGCCAGTTAGATCGTCTGTACAGAATTGCTCATTTCACAGCTGCAAATGAAAATAATCTCTGTCAAAGACAGACACAATACAAATCATTGATGATGATTAGTCTGTATAAAGAGAGTGTACATAAACTATTTACTATTGTATTAACTTATAAAGCGATACAGGGGTATACACTTTTTTTTTTTATAAGAACCAGTAAAATTTTGCTCAGACTCAGTGTTCTTATTTTTTTGGCCGATTTCAGGCTCAAAATGTTCTTATTTTGTTCTTACGTTGCACACTTTTCAAACATAAGAAATTATTATTGTACAGCAAGGTATCACTGTACTGGAATGTAGGTAAAAAGTGGTCCTGGAAAAATGGTCCCTGAAAAAAAGGCCCCTGAAAAAATGGCCAGAGAAAAAAATGCCCCGGTAAAAATGGCCACAACCCAAATGACAGGTTGTACACAACTGTACTGTATTATAGAGGGTATTACTTACCTACTGCACACAAGGTAGATATAATTTTCTTTTCTTTTTATTTAAAAATCTCATTAGACATTTTACCTCAGCCTCAATTTGTTTTTATATTGTTCTTAATTTTTAAGCAATTTCAGCCTCAGTGTTCTTATAAAATGTGTTCTTATAAAAAACAAAATTGTAATACGAATGCTACGCTATCCCCTCTAAAAATTAAGGAATGACAATGGAATAACAGATAGCATATTTAAGTATACATGTATCTTAAAAAAATTT